GCCTTCGGATTCTTCTCCAGTCTCACCGTCTGCGTCACTACCGTTGTGACTGCGGGGGAATGTTGAGTAACGTGATTGTATTAGGAAACATAGGTTAGACTAGGAAATATTCTGGCTTGCCTTGTATTCCAAGTAGATTATGTACTCCTATATATATGGTCACGAGGCTCAAGCAATACAAGGATTATTCCATCAAATTCCTCTCTCCCTTCTAACAATAGAAGCTCCTGGGGAGGAACTCTCCCTGCGGAATTCATTTTGCTGGTTTCCCCGATCAAACCTGGAACCAGGTGCTCCTCGTCCATAGCTTCATACCATGGACAAGCAAACCAGTGTCTGCACACAATGCACAACTCGATGCATCTCATAATTCATCACATACACCCTGCCATGTTTCGCCTGAACACCACGGTGAATGAAGCGAGGACGGACCGCTGAAGCAGCAGTCAGTCGTAGCACCATCCTCACATGGCCTACTGTAGTACTCATACTGAACTACTGTAGTCAACTGCGCGGTGCACGGTGCAGCAGTTCTATCCTACCGTGCGCCCGGTGGCCCTGGCAGGGCAGCCGCGGCACGTCCGGGTCTCGCCGCTCGTCGTCGTCCCCGACGCCACGCGCGCGCCTCGCCGAGGTAAAAAGAAACACAACCATCGTGCGCCGCCCCGGAGCTCGGCCGTGCGCGTCGCGTCGCGTCGCTGATCCCACCGGCGGGCTTCCCGGGCAGGCCAAGAAAACAAATGATAACAAAAACGGGAGATCAGAGTACGGCGCCAACTTTAACGAGCCCCGACGCCGCATCCTCTCCCGCCCCAATACAAAAAGCCGCCCCAACCGCCGCACAGCGTTAACAAAGAAATACCAGAGCACACTCGCCGTCTCAGCTCGTTTCCCTCCTTCCCACCCGCTCGGCAGACAACACTCTCGGCGCCAAGGGAGGCAGGGTTGTGGCTTCTGAGACGCGAGAATGAGGGAGCAGGAGGCCCGTGTCGAGGCGGGGCGCCGGGGCGGCGTCATCAGGTCGCTGCTCGGCGTCGCCAGGCTCGCGGAGGACGGCGGCGCCGGCGCCGACGAGGGCGACTCTAAGAAGGAGGACGGCGTCGGCGCGGAGAGGAAGGCGGTGGTGCGGGTGGTGGCGGCCGACATGCCGCCCGCGCTGCAGCGGCGCGCGTTCCGCTGCGCCCGCGAGGAGCTCGCCGGGATGCCGCACTTCCCGCGCCGCCTCGAGCCCAAGCGCCTCGCGCTCGCCCTCAAGAAGGTAACTAACCATGACTAAAGCACCGTGCGCGCCACACCGCAAGAACTCCATCGCCGTCTCCCAGATGAGAATACCACCGCACAGCTTGCCAGGAGCTGGCGCCGTTGTTTGCTCCCGAAAAATGCACCGCCAAACGCGGCGGGTTGGCAGTACTACATGATTGCTACTACTCGTAGTAGTATTTGCCTCCGTTGTCTTCTACTCTAGCCGCAGATTATAATACTCGTAATTGTTCAGCGAGTGCAGCATCTTGCTTGCTTGCAATTGCTAGGAACTTTCGTAGAGCGACTCTGGTTCCGGGAGTAACTCCATTTCTGCGACTGTACTCTCGCGGCAATGCAGCCACAACTGATGCACTAAGCGCATTCATGTCGACGTTGCTGACAGATCCTCCGCGCTATGATCGCCAGTTCACCACACCGCTCACATTTTGTGTGTTGCTACCGATACCTAGATGGAGTGTATCGGGTCGGGTCGGGTCGGCTGCCCTCTGCAGCTGTATTCTTCTGAGGACAGAAATGGGTTTGTTGTTTTACTTATCATCATTGGCAGTTGGAGCATCAGGCTCCCAACACCTAGGCGATGGGGTCAAGCCGAATGAAACGATCATTCGCGCAGCTAACCACCGATTAGGATTAGAGCAATTAATAAATCGAACAGTCCAAAGTTGCAATCATGTGGTTGTCACTGTCACCACACAGGAGGGCATGAGCAAAGTTTGACCAGAATATACGCGCCGATCAGACTGCTCTGGGGACTGAACACTCACATCGGCCAAGCTCAAATGCTCAATGCCTGCCAACTTCGCCGTTGCTTCTTCTAATGTCATTCACAATTTAACCGCATTATTTGTTCGAAAATCCTCAAACATTGTGTGCCTATCCTCGTATACAGTTTCGCTTATTGTTATCCTATATGCTGACAGGAATTCGACACCGCTTACGGCGCGGCTTGGCACTGCATCGTGGGGACGAGCTTCGGTTCATACGTCACGCACGCCAATGGCGGATTCTTGTACTTTTCTGTTGATAAGGTCTACATACTGCTCTTCAGGACGGCGGTCGAGCCCCCGCCCCATTGACGATGGGCAGACAAATCGCCGTTCACTAATTGTATGCACTGTGTGGGAGTGTGAGGACGTCCCAGCTCTCAAATGCAAACGGTTCGGCTGAACAAGCCCTTGTAATTACAGTAAATTGCATTGTTTCTTCGATGGCAATGGAGACTCCATTTTTTGCATCACATCCACGATTCAAAACCCCGAGAATTCGACGGCGTAACATGTTCCAGTTGAACGCGGTGTGATCGTTGTGCTTTTCAGTGTGCGAGAGGTTTCCGATGTTCTGTAGATGTCCAAACATGAGCATAGTTCGGTGTATATTGAAGTGATGCAAGCTTTCAGAATGTACTAAACAAGATTGCTGTTGTGCAAGGCAGGAAGGAATCATTGCATATCTTGATTCCAGGCATGCATCCAATGTGTATTTCTTATTGGATATAAAGCTAAGGCCTCCTTTGGTTTGTAGGAATGTCATAGGATTTCTATAGGATAGGATTTGCATAGGTAAATTTCCTTTGAGGCCCCTTGGTTTGTAGGAATGGATTCCTATTCCTATATAGGATAGGAATCAATCCTTCACATTTTGGAGAAAAAAAAACATTAGCCAATACTCAATAGAAAATTTCTATCCTATGCATCAAATGACATCTTTTTCTCTATAGGAATTAAGATGCATGTCATCCCATTTCCTATAATTTTCCTATTCCTACAACATTTCTATCCTATGAACCAAAGGAGGCCTAAATGTTGCATGTTTTGATACAAATTTATTTGATAGGTGGATTTTTCACTTTCTTATAGTTTCAATCTATAAAGATAATGAGATACAAGAAATGGTATTAATACTTCAAACTTTTGTTTTTTCCTAATTCACTAGCATGTGGAAACAAAACAGGAAATGATAAATAATTGAAAATAGCTCAAAATAGTAAATGATAAATCACTGAAAATTGTTGTACTTGCAATCCCGTTGCAACCCACGGGCATGTTTCCTAGTGGTAGTTCAATTCACAAACCATCTTGTCCTTAGACCTCGATCCCAAGACTATCAAAGAGCTTAGGTCATGGGATGAGTGTCGCATGAAGCTCTTGTATGTTTGTGGCCTCCAGTTGAAACATGAATTGGAGGTTACGCTCATAGTTGACGATTTCATGGTAAGCCTTTATCTGACATTGAATTCCTTATATGTGGTTTCCTATGTGCGTAAATGACATAAACGACATAGCCCATGGTTTCGGCTGTGCCACGTGTCGGAGACATCTAACTCTAACCTCTCAAAAGGGTAACCTATTACTAGTGTTTTCAATATTTTATTTTATTTTTCTTATAAATTTATGGCCTTACTTTTTACTAATTTTAAGCCTCCTAGTGTCTACTGAATGCTCGAAATTTGTTGATTGTGTCATCCCCTCTCTCACTCCATTGCTTCCATTTTGGAACTTAGGAACTACAATGTAGGATGCATAAATGATATCATTGTCTATATGATCCATATGTGCTATAGATAAAACTATATGAGTATTAGTATGTTCCCCAATTCTTGTTAGTTTTAAATATTCATGATTTGTACAATCTACTTTTCAAATAAAATAATTTCCTTTTGCATTTGCAATGAGATTTAAGTCATTGTGTTCGTACTTTGCCATATAGCCAATGTCATAAAAAGAGCAATTACTCTTCTTGTGCTTGCACACCTAGTTTTGGGAGGAAAAAACAGAAAAATATTTAAAACATTTTCCAGTTATTATCCTCAGTGTGTGCTAATTCGCCACAATACCCCACCTCGATTAAATTGTTGTTATTTTGTTCATGAATTAATACCATCGAGTTGATCCTTTTAAAGAACTTAATTAATATCATTGATCCCTTCTTCAACATGAATCATATTAATGTATTGCGATTAATGTGACCTTATCTTCATCGGTTACAAGTATTTGCCCACTATAAAGGAAGCATCATTTGCCTTTCAATTCCACACTAGTAGTCCAAAGGGGCACAACAAGCACCATATTAGCAACTCAATCCTAGAGTTCAGTGTAGACCAAGAAATGAGGAGCACACACATTCTATTCCTTGCATTTTCCCTCCTAATTCTATCATTGGGTATCTAGTCGATCAATACCAAGCACTCTAGTGCCTAGTTATCTACACTAGTAATGTGTGTGAATTTTTGACATATGTATATATTGCATGATTGTCTAACATACCCTATTTTCCCTTTTGATATCTAGCTATGGCAGCTTCTAAGACCGTATGCAAACACATCATCAGGAAGGGCAAATGTAACAACGCCGAATGCCTATCTTACTGCAAGAAGTTTATCTCCCCACCCGGTGGCCCATCCGCCACGTGCGTACCCGAGGGATGCAAGTGTTATATGTGCGGAGGAATTCCACCGAACACACCATATAGCTAGATTAAAAAATAGCATATGCATGGACTTATCACAGTTGGTTGAGTAATGAATAAAATAATTCGAGTAATATAGCATAGTATGAAGTTCAACAGTGCGAGAACAATGAGATTTTTTACTATGCCATAGCGAATACTTGGGTTCCCTTTATTGGAGCTATTTTCCTTATTATTATTATTATTATTATTATTATTATTATTTTCAAATTGGCTTGGTGCTCTTTTACCTTGGAAAATTATTTGATTTATCAATGAATTTTTCAATCCAATTTCGATCTTCATCGATAAGCAAAAACAAATACCGATGGGCGATGTTAACAGTTTCCTGAAAAGATAAAAGGATGAAAGACAAAACTTCAAGCATTATTTGCAGCACAGAATAGCTACTAAAAAATCGGCCACACTTATAATATGTCAATACTATTAGTGAACTAAAATTAATATATTCACAAGTTTTTTACAAAACATTAAGTAGATCACAGAAAATGTATGACATGGACACACAGTGAAAAAAGTATAACTATCTAAGAAAGTGTTTACATAGCTTGCTATGTTTGCATTGCAACTGCAAAATGTTCTGTTTCTTGGATTAAAATGATTGTTTTAAGGAAGTAGAAAAATGTTACAATAGTAGTTGAAAATATTCCAATAGTAGTTGAAAATATTCCATCAAGCTTACGAGGCAGTTACGATTATCATTTATTTTCAATTTCAATAGTACTACAGCGCTCACCATTAAAAGGCTTAAAGCGATTAATAGGATAGAAAACTATTAAATAAAATAAAAAACTTGGCTGATCATTTCATGAAAGTAAGTAGTGGAACTTCATTAAGAAAAAAAAACTGAACTAGAAATACTAGATTCTGCACTGGTTCTGAATTTGACACAAAAGTGTTCATGTAGCACACCGCATCGTAAGACACATATCAGCATCAGCATGTGCGCCCCAATTCCATCGTTGTAAGTAGTGGCCACTGGCCATGACATTCCTCAGACAAAGAAACATCTGGTAAATGTTAATTCACATCTGAAACAAACAAAACTTACCAGATTATCTGACTAAGCTAAGTTCCCGCTATATACATGGAGTAAGATAATAATGAACCTATGGTCAGCACGAATGGAGCTTGCGGTTTTCTTGACCTCAATCGTACACAACGTAAACACCACATTTCCATTCAGACGACCATTTCAGCCTCTTTCAAACTGGAGGGAATACCTATATCTAGCCTCATTGTGGCTTTGTACTTCTCCGGCACTTTTGCGCCGCCCTGAATGCATATCTCGACGACAGCCGGCGCCTGCCCATAGAAGATCTTGAGCTCCTTCTGCAACTCCCCAGATTCCGGCATGTGCCAGACGTATCTAGGGGGTATCAGGTCATCGAGCACCGCCGCCTGCCACCCATGCTGTCCATTCCTCTGCTGGTGCTTGAAGGCTCCACAGTTGCGCGCTTTATGACCACTCGCTCCAATGTGCACCTCAGGACAGTATCCGCACACCCTCACTGAATACCTCTTCATGAGCCTCAAGGCACCGTTCCGGAGTGTCTCCCACACTTCGAGTGTTTCCTCGGCAAGAGCAGCTGTCTCCTCTGGGCTCGATGGAGGGGTAATCTCATCGTCGGGTACTTCTTCGAGAATTGGCTCCTTAAATTTGTCAGGCTCTGGGTCAGGCAGGTCATCTTCATTTGCATCGACAAACTCTTTCCTTCCGATCTTAACAATTGGCTTTCTTCGGCGCTTTGTGGGGTACTCAGGGAGGTCGAGACCAGCTTGGATGCAAAGCTCCACGAGAGCAGGAATGCGGGGCACCTCAAACCTCTGGTCATGAGGGATACGCGGGCCTAGACGGTCCTCTAGGTGGTAAGCTTCAACTGGCAAGAAAACAGCTTCAACAAAAGTACTTCCCCAGTCATGTTCTCCCTTACGTTTATCAGAAGACATTCCTCGGCATGTTCTGAAAGGGTGTCCAACAGATCCAACATGTATCTCACTGCAATATCTGCACCGGAAATAGGCATTATTTCCTCACTTAGCAATAGTAAAGAAATCATCAGTCTCACTGATAATCACAAGTGCACACGAGTGGCATAGTGAACTGAACAAATGCATATGACAACTTGAGAGTACATAACTTCGCAAATTGCAAACTAGTCATGGCTATCAATATCATTTTGTGGATGTGACACGACACAACCTATGGAAGCACAGGGCAACGCAGCATTATGACTTATGAACAAAATCCTTTTAAAATTATCAAATACCATCATGGGATTAACTTTTAACATGGACAGAGATTTCTTAGAGAAATAAACATGAAGTCCAAACTTCCGGCCTGACTTAATGCAGATGTCCATTGTGACTCAATAGAGGCTTTGCTAAAACCAAATGGAGATGTCTTAACTGGATTCAGTAATCTACGCACGCATGCAAATGTATATATTCAACGGGGTACACAAGAAACAACCTTCTAGCATACTCTCAAGCAGACTACTTCTAAGCGTACCTCCATGTTTCATGTCATATAACTAGACGCAAAAGGAAGTTAATTATATGCGTTGGCATAACTTAATTTTGTTGCCAATGGAAAACGTGTATGTGAGGTACTTTATCTGCCGTTTATACGAATCCTATCCTGCTATCTTGCTTTATAGATTATACAACATGAAGGCAGACTTCTTCTGTCCGGTGTGATAGATATGTAATGAGAAATTTTACCCTTAGCGTGATTTCAAGAGCATACTTATCAGGAAAAAAAACAGGACAAGATAATTACTTGCAGCCTTTCACTGGTACTACTTTCATCAGCCTCTTCAAGTTGTTGATCAGCAAAATTCTTGCGTTGTACACTCTGTATGCCTCTGGTATTAGTCTCTGGACCAGCAATCCATTTTTCGGAGGTGGCGGCGGCCCCCTAGGCTTCCCTTCAGCTTCCTTCATCCTCTGTCTTGCTCGGCGCCTTAACTCCAGTACTGGTATAGGAAATGGTTTCTTCTCCCTTTTGGAGTAGTTACGTGGAAAATCAGCATTCTGAGAATTGTCGTTTCTAATGACGATGGAGCTATAACAAGGCTGGGACGCACTGGAAGCGGGCGCTCTGTAAATTGTCAGGAAAAAGGGGGGACTCATCAGAGCACGAAAATATATTCAACATTGGACCCACTCGATTTCAGAATCAAATGTGACTGCTTAAATCAAGGTAAATTTTCACCAAGCATACCCAACTCAACTAGTCTCATCAACTTTTTTGTTTTATCGCAAGTTTATGATTCACTACCAACTTACCATTAACTGTTCATGAACTGGACCGGTATCTTACTAACATCATAGTTTATCGCCCAAAGGTTAAGGTACTCGCTACGAGAGTATCAGTGGTAAAAGTTACTCCCTCCGTTTCTAAATACTTGTCTTTCTAGGCATTTCAACAAGTGACTACATATGAAGCAAAATGAGTGAATCTACACTCTAAAATATGTCTACATACATCTGTATGTAGTAGTCATTTGAAATGTCTAGAAAGACAAATATTTAGGAACGGAGGGAGTACTTATGAGTCATGACAGCATTTCAGAGTTGCAAATCATCAGAGCAAACTACCAACAGCGGCACTGACAAACATTATTACTGTAATTTTGATTTTATTTTCAGCAGTTTTTCCTAACAGCAGCGGCACCATAAATAAAGCAAGCCTCGAACTAACCTGAATCGTCCACCGCATCCACGCGCACCACTGCCAATTCCTGCAACCGCGTCTAATTGCCTCCTGACCTGCGCCGGAGGGAAAGCATAATCAAATTTCAAAACCATCGCTCCTATCCAACCCTCTCTGCTCCTACAGCCGAACAACTAGCGCCAGGTTGAGGTTGGGGGCGGGCCTACCTGGACGCGGGGGGCAGACCACCGGAGGCCGACGAAGGAGCGGAGCTGGGGGAGGCGGGACGAGCAGGTCGGGGGAGGCGGGAGAGGGTAGGGGGAGGAGGAGGGTCTCATGGCCGCGGCCATTGGAGGTAGAGGGAGCGAGCGATGGGCGTCTGGCTGCTTCTCTCCCTATCCTCTGCGTTCGCTAGGCTCTCTTTGCCTCGGGCTTCTTCGGGTCGGGGTGGGCCTATTCGGTCGTCGCAAGGAGCCAGGAGCCATCTGGACTGTCCATGTGGGCTGATGAGGTGGGATCTTGGTCACTGCCTCACTGGTCTCATTTTCTTTTCACGCAATTTTCAAAAAACATTCATAACATAACAGATGTAAAATTTTGTTCACACAAATTTTTAATGTATTTAGAACATGTATAAAAATATTCTGTCATCTAAAAAAATGTTCATAAACACTTTATCTTGAAAAATGTTCAGCATGTTTTTAAGAATGTTCACTCTGCATTAAAAAAAGGACTATGATATTTGGCACACGTGTGCCACATAGTTAAAACTACCACACATATTTTATTCCTTCCCTTTAAGTACAGAACGACCCTCCCCCCTTCGATCCCTCCTCCTCCCGAATGGTCCCGCTGGCTCTCCCGAGAAAGCTGCTTCTCCCGCGCCCACCCCCCGGGAAAACTGCCACTTCATGTCTCCCATGTGATTAAAAAAATTACGCATGTGGGATTCGAACCCACGACTCCCTAGCACCAAAGTGAACCACCACAACCAACTCACCCTTAGGGATTTGTTGCTCAACTAACGAAACCTATTCGTTTTGACCCTTTTTTTTTACAATCGTGTTATTACAGAAAATTACCACGATTTCCTCTCGGGTCAAAGTTACCATGGTATTCGTATGCAAGTTATCAGGTCTATGTTGCGTAAGTTACCGTGTTATTTACATAGAACTTACCATGTAGTATGCTTCAACAACTACACCCCCTTTCAAAGTTACCATTGTGTTTTGTACACAAGTTAGCAGGTCCTCGATGCGTAAAGTACCGTGGTACTAACACATAACTTATCAGGGTATGTTTACATAACCCCCCCCCCGGTCAAAATTACCATGGGGGATTGTACATGAGTTAACGGTTCTACGGTTCGTATATTATCATGGTAAAAACCGGGTGTGTGCTTTTTTTCATAGGTAAAAAATTACCATAATATTTTTGTGTAACTTATCATGCCTATAGCGGGTCAAAGCGGACCGTTTTTTTTTGGCCAACCCATGAGCACGTGTACCCCTCATGACACTAAATATTATGTGACTTTCCCGTGGCACGCCATGTGTTGTGTTCATCCAACAGGCCCCGCGAGGCGAGTGTATGTTTCTAACAACTTTTTTCCTTTGGTGAAAGTTACCATGATGCTTATATGTAAGTTATCGGTTATGGGTGCTTGTATTATCATGTTATTTACACACACAAAATCTCGGGGATGTTTTGAACAACTTTTTCCCGGATCAAAAAGTTATCATGGTGATTCTAGGTAACCTATCAAGCCCGCCGTGCTTAAAATATCATGCTATTTACACAAAATTTATCAGGGGTATGTTTCAGCAAATTTTCCCCCACGGGTCAAAAACTTATCATGGTGTTTAGTTATCGCAGTGCATATGTTTTCATGCTATTACACAGAAAAAAAACCTAGGGGAGGGAGGTATAATACTGTGCTATTTACACATAAGTTACCGGAGTGTCTTTTCGATAATTTTCTTCCCTATAGTCAAATACCATGGTGTTTCTACCTGAGTTATCAGATATGCGATGCGTATATTACCATCTATTTACACAGAAATTATCGGGTATATTTTCACATTTTTCTTCCCCAATGGTTAAAGATACCATAATGTTTGTATCTAAATTATCAGGTCTATGGCGTGAATGTTATCATATTATTTACAGAAATTACCGGGGGGTTGGGGGCGGGGGGTCAACAAATTTCTTCCCAATGATCAAAGTTACCACTATGCTTTCACCAAAGTTATCACGACTCCGGTGCTTATATGGCCATGCTACTTACACATAATGTAACGTGTGGTATACAAAAGTTATCATGTTGGTGGTGCGTTAGTTATCGTGGTGGTGATGAAGAATTTACCACGGGAAAAGTTTATGTGCCAGGTTTGATAGGTGAAACAAAAAGATTTTCTGTGTTATCATATTAAAGGCAAAACATGTCAAAAACCGTATTTTCCTTATCTTGTTCAACAATGAGTTGTAGGCGAGGTGGTCAGCTCCCTTTGTTGATTACCTGCAGACCAGGGAGGGCGGGGTGGGTGCGCGCGATCGGATCTGACGGTGCTAGATGCGTGTGGTAGTTTTTGCAATCTGCCACACGATTGCCACATACATATTTCATTAAAAAAATGTTCAACGTGAATTCCACAAATGTTCAGCATATATTCCAATAAAAATTCAACATGAATTTAAAAAATATTCAATGTGTAACTGAAAAAAAATATTCAACTTGTATCATAAAAAGTCCACATGTTCTTTCAACCAGTAACTTTAGAAAAAGCCTCAACTATATTAATGCTTATCAAGTTATCAGATAAAATCATATTTTATTTTGTAATCAAATAAGTGTAGCCACTACATGGGTGTTCTGTGTGAGGAGATTTATCAAATAAATGTTTATCAATTGAACATGATTTATTAAATTAAACTGCCATTGGTCTCAATCTGATGTTAAGAATGTCGTTTTTAATGATAATCCACGTGATAAGATTTGTCACCGGAGTATTCTATCTCTATTGGCATTGCCTACCGTTTTGGCGCTCTCTCCATGGCCTTAAGCAAGTCTCTTACGTCTGGAGTGTTTTGCCTCTGCCTGGCCGCCTTTCAGCAAGTACTCATGATCCATCGTTGTTCGTTCATCTTTTTATAGTGCTTTGCCTCTGCCCGGCTTTTCAGCGAGTGCCCGTTGTTTGTTCAATTTTTTTCAAATGGTTGGACTCTTCTTTCTTTATATATTGATGCATAATCATCATGATGACCCGAGTACATTGCCTCTGTGAATGCCGTCTTAGTGAGCAGTTTGTGAATCCCTTCTTAGTGAGCAATTTCTTATACCTGATTTTAGCCCTCATCCTAACTTTCTTTGGAACGGGGTCTTCTTTATCTTTAATGGATTTTTTATTTTCTGGCCCTCATCCCAACTTTCTTTCGAATGAGGTCTTCTTTATCTTTGATGAATTTTTATTTTCTGAAAAATATATTCTTGCTTTTACTAATAAGAGTACTGTTGAGATTTTCATGGAGCTTCAGGATCTTTAGTTGAGCGTGCCACTTATGGTGGGCCCATCGTCTAATTATAATCATCTTGTTGGGTCTCACTCGAATCAGTTTGTTTATGCTCCTAGTACTTCGGTTCGTGTTTTTGATATCTTCCACGATCTCTTCATCATATGTTCTTTCCTCGTTTTATCTTCATGTTCTCTATATCTCTGCAGCATGATCTCTCATTGTCTATACTTCTCTTATTCATGTTCCTCTGTTCCAGTTCATTACATACATCTTCAGGCCTTTCCTTGTTTTATCTTCATGTTCCTCGTTTTATCTTCGTCAATTCACTTCTCTGCTTACTGTGTTTCTTTTGTCTTCAGGCCTTTCCATGTTTTATCTCTATGTTCCTCGTTTATCTTCGTCAATTCACTTCTCTGAATACTGTGTTTTTTTGGTCTGTTCTTTCCTCGTTTCAGTTCATCACATACATCGTCAGGGTTCTGTTCTTTTATCGTTTCAGTTCATCGCATATAAAATTGACTAAAGTCAAGCCTCGTAAAATTTGACGAGCTTTGTAAAAATAAGTGTCAACATTCACAATCTGAAATCAATACCACTAGATGTGTCATGACCTAAAGTTTCATATTATATAATTTTAGCATGACAGATGTTGATATTTTTTCATATAAATACGGTCAAACTTTGTGAAGTTTGACTTTAGAAAATTCTAATATGCAGAGTAAAAATGACCGAAGAAAGTACATACATAAAAATGACCGAAGAAAGTACATACATCTTCAGGCCTATTCGGATGCTAGGTGCGTTAGCGGTCCTTCAGATCGTACTAAACCCTAGCATTTCAAACTCAAAACAACGATCACGCCTCGCGGCGCAGGTGCATAATTTATTGTCCAGAACAAACTAGAGTTCTTGATATGAGTGGATACATATGTACAACCCCATCACGTGTCACGTTCGCGATACACCGACCAGCTTCCAGAAAAAGTGCAGCCGATCAGACTATTGAAACACAAATGTACTCGTAGCTAGTTAACGCAATAAAGGGACTGAAGCTGAAGCGTGCTGTTGCCTGCTCCTCTCGAAATTAAGCGGTGTCCTTCTTGAAGATCCTGTCGAGGACGCCCTCCCTGCTCTGCTCGGGGATCCCCGGCGGGTCTACGCCGACGTCCTTGAGCGTCACCGCCTTCCTGGCCCTGAGGAACACAAATCATCCAACATCAGTCACGTACATCAATCAAACCACCACTGTGCGCGCAGGAAGTGAGTCGTACGGGTAGTCGGCGACGGGGTCGGCGACGCCGGCGGTGAGGGAGCGGTCGTCCTGGACGTGGGCGACCTTGCGGAACACGGAGCCGCCGACGAAGCGCTCGGCCTCGTCGAGGGCGAGGTCCGGGTCCGCCACCTCGGGCACCGCCTCGCGCTTGCGCTTGTCGACCCAGACGTTGGGCGCGTGCGCCAGCTGCTGCCGCGCCGTGTGCAGCCCCAGCGCCCCCGCCAGGCCGATCATCCCCAGCGCCACGTACACCGGCACGTAGTCGCCCATGGGCTTGGCCTTGGGCCTCTCGGCGTGCGCCGCCGCGGTGGAGGCCGACCTCCGGAAGTGGCCCTGCAGGGCGGCCGTGCGGAGAGCAGCGGCGGCTCGTGAAGCCATCATGGCTGCTAGCCTGGGGGCGATATCAGCAGAGAGTGGCGACGATCTGAGTGTGGTTTGGATTTCTCTGGGTGAGTGCTTCTTCTGTTTCGCTTTGTGAGCTGATGGGAGTCTGTGACGGTGGCTTATCTTATAGGGGCGGCTCGGTGGCCTCGTGGCGAGTGGCGAAGCGTCTGGAACGGGCGGGAGCAAGGTGGCGACGCGCGGCAGGGCGGCGACGCGCCAGCGTGACCCCGCCGCGTTTGGAGGGCACATGCGATTAGTTACGTGTACCTCGTTCGTGCACACGGCCGTATGCATCTATCATGCAGTTTGTTCTCGATTGCTACTACGTACACTTTTTTATGGATTATTACATACACTAGACGTATGGCCCCTTCTTTTCGGTGATTCTCCCAGAATCGTCCTTCTCCTCAGCTTCTTTCAGAATCGCCATTTTATATTTTTTTACAATCCTAACTAATTAGACTTTAACTAGACAGGATTGACAAAAATATATGAAATGACGATTCTGGGAGAAGCTGGAGAGAGGGCGATTCTGGAAGAATCGCCCAAAAGAACTGGCCCTAAGACCTGGACGTTTCTTGAAATTTTATTCATTCAAATGTTTAGAGTTTTCTCGGTGAAAACTGGCCGATAAATAACTAGATGTGGCGCAACTTGCATACGATGTTGAAATTCGTTCAAACCTGACATGGATATTTATCATGGGCATACCAACCTACCGAAAAAAGTTCGGGTTATTTCATGTAGATTAAAAATAGATCATGTTCAACAGAATGCATTCAGGTAAGCGAGAAGAATCCGTTTGAGAGCATTTTTATTCGGCATCCATCAGATGACCCTAATTTTTTTCACGGTCTTATATTACTAACTAAAGGCACCATGTCAAGTTGTTTTGATTTTTGATAAATTTGGCGTTTTCTGAAGTTTTCTCAGTCAAAAAAGGCTGATAAAATGACGAACATGTCGTAATGTGCATACATTTTTATTTTTCTTTTCTTTTTTATTTTTATCTTCAATCCTATTTTCTATTTTCTGTTTCTTTTTTTCCTTTGTGTCTTCTTTGACTTTTTGTTTTTTCTGTTTATTGTTTGTATTTCACACAAATTAAAAAAAATTCTGAATTCAATTTTTTGTTCAGAATATCAAAATATTTCATGTTTTTCCCTTTTTGCTCAGTTTATAAAATAATGTTCATTCTTTCAAAAAAAGTTCAGAAATTTCAATTTTTCATATTTATTAACCAATGTTCAAAAAATCCAGAAAATGTTCAGCATTTCCAGATATTGTTCAGATTACACTTTTTGTTCTTATTTATTAATCAATATACAGAAAATTCAAAAAAATTCACAATGAAAAAATGTTAGCAAATTTGGGAAAAATTGTGTTGCCAAATTTTGCTCAGAGTTTGGAAAAATGTCCCCATTTCAAAAAATGTTCACTTTTAAAACATATTTAAAGTTTTGAAAATGTCCCCATTTTCAAGTTCACTCACAAAGTAAAAAAGAAAGTAATCTATTTTTTTCAATATTTTTTCTCAAATTTAAAAAATGTTTGGGAGTTTCAAATAATATTCGCGCTTTCAATTTTTTCTGGAATTTTAAAAAATATTCCTCTTTAAAAAATATCTATAATTTCAAAAAAATCAGGGAAATTCAAAAATAAATTGGTTTAAATTTTTATTCGTATTTTATGCTTTTTTGGAATTATAATTTTTTACTAGTTTTCTATTTTTGTTTGTGTTCAAAATTGTGTTCGCTCTTTAAAAAAATCTTGTTTTGACATTCTGAGCAAGTTTGAAAGACATGAATATTTTCTTTAAAAAAATTGCACAATTTTTTAAAATACAAAATTTGCATTTTATGAACAAAAAAGGTAAAATAAAGACCCAAGCGAAAACCGTGCATAAAAAGGAAAAAAAACAAGGAGTGAAAGTGTTGTTGTTTTTTCTTAGCGTTATCTATCTCGCACAAGAAGAAGAAAACAAGGTTAGTAGGCACTCCAGATTAGCTATCCCAGATGGTTTGTGGCTTACGCATAGTCCATGGGGACTATAGTTCAAATCCCAGGTTGGACATCTATCTTTTTGAAGTTTAAAACTAAAAAAACTAAATGGGCTGAGCGGCGGGTATTGTACGAACCTATGGCATATATGTTCTATATATGAAAGTGGCTACAATTTGTGAAAGGTCCATAATGCCGATTAGCAATCAACCTTCTGTCATTTGAATCAACCTTCTGCCATTTGAGGTATATGTTGGAAATATACCCTAGAGGTAATAATATTGTATTATTATATTTTTGTTTTCATAATTAAGAGTTCATATTCTATGCTATAGTTGGTATGATGCTGGAATATGTGATTCAGTGGAAAACTCATCTGCAAGTGTGGAATAATTGACGGTAAAATAAGGTTCCTAGTCTTGCCTCTATGACTAACTATAGTGTTGTTGGTGATCATGTTTTCCATATCTCACGTTAAGTGTAACAATATTTCTAAAACAACATTGAGAGTATGACGTTAGAAGAACGATATTATTGAATCAATTCAAACCTGTTTGTTATACTTTGAGATAATATCATCTAAAATGAATTTTTATAACACGGAGTGTTAACATGTGTTTTAGTTTCTTAGACCATGAGAGTATCGTAGTCACTTCTTACCATACGATGAGCTCTGGAGTTGCTCAAACATCATCTGTAACACGGTGATCATCACGACAACTTATAGGTTCATCAGAAAGTTTGACAAGGGACTAGATGGCTCGAGAGTGGAATTTGTTCTTGGATGAGGGAGAGATATTCTTAGGGACCTCTCGGTGTGAAAACATACATCATCTTCTGGCCAGACATAGGTGACTATGTCACGGGGATGCCGAAAAATTCAACGAAAAATAAGAACAACATTGGTAACAAGGATAATGGTATACTGAGCATGTGTGTTGTTGGGGAACATAGTAATTTCAAAATTTTCCTACAGACACGCAAGATCATGGTGATGCGTAGCAACGAGAGAGGAGAGTGTTGTCTACGTACCCTCGTAAACCGAAAGCGGAAGCGTTAGCACAACACGGTTGATGTAGTCGTACGTCTTCACGGCCCGACCGATCAAGCATCGTCATTAACGCGGTTGATGACGATCCCCGGACTCCGATCCAGCAGAATGTCAGGGAAGAGTTCCGTCAGCACGACGGCGTGGTGACGATCTTGATGTTCTACCGTCGCAGGGCTTCGCCTAAGCACCGCTACAATATTATCGAGGATTATGGTGGAGGAAGGCATCGCACACGGTTAATAGATCTTAAGGATCAATTGTTGTGTCTATGGGGTGCCCCTGGCCACGTATATAAATGAGTGGAGGAGGGGGGAGAGGGCCGGCCCCTATGGCGCGCCATGGAGGAGTCCTACTCCCACCGGGAGTAGGATTCCCCCCTTTCCAAGTAGTAGGAGTAGGAGTCAAGGCAAGGGAAGAGAGAAGAGAAGGAAGGAGGGGGCGTAGCCCCTCCCCCTAGTCCAATTCGGACTAGGCCTTGGGGGGTGCCCAACCTCTCCTCTCTCTTTCCCCTAAAGCCCAATAAGGCCCATATACTCTCCGGCGAATTCCCGTAACTCTCCGGTACTCCGAAAAATACCCGAATCACTCGGAACCTTTCCGATGTCCGAATATAGTCGTCCAATATATCGATCTTTACGTCTCGACCATTTCGAGACTCCTCGTCATGTCTCCGATCTCATCCGGGACTCCAAACTCCTTCGGTATATCAAAACTCATAAACTCATAATATAACTATCATCGAAACCTTAAGCGTGCGGACCCTACGGGTTCGAGAACAATGTAGACATGACCGAGACACGTCTTTGGTCAATAACCAATAGCGGAACCTGGATGCTTATATTGGCTCCCACATATTCTACGAAGATCTTTATTGGTCAGACCGCATAACAACATACGTTGTTCCCTTTGTCATCGGTATGTTACTTGCCCGAGATTCGATCGTCGGTATCTAAATACCTAGTTCAATCTCGTTACCGGCAAGTCTCTTTACTTGTTCCGTAATACATCATCTCGCAACTAACTCATTAGTTGCAATGCTTGCAAGGCTTTAGGCGATGTGCATTACCGAGAGGGCCCAGAGATACCTATCTGACAATCAGAGTGACAAATCCTAATCTCGAAATACGCCAACCCAACAAGTACCTTCGGAGACACCTGTAGAGCACCTTTATAATCACCCAATTATGTTGTGACGTTTGGTAGCACATAAAGTGTTCCTCCGGTAAACAGGAGTTGCATAATCTCATAGTCATAGGAACATGTATAAGTTATGAAGAAAGAAATAGCAACAAACTAAACGATCAAGTGCTAAGCTAATGGAATGGGTCAAGTCAATCACATCATTCTCCTAATGATGTGATCCCGTTAATCAAATGACAACTCATGTCTATGGTTAGGAAACATAACCATCTTTGATCAACGAGCTAGTCAAGTAGAGGCATACTAGTGACACTCTGTTTGTCTATGTATTCACACATGTATTATGTTTCCGGTTAATACAATTCTAGCATGAATAATAAACATTTATCATGATATAAGGAAATAAATAATAGCTTTATTATTGCCTCTAGGGCATATTTCCTTCAGTCTCCCACTTGCACTAGAGTCAATAATCTAGTTCACATCGCCATGTGATTTAACATTAATAGTTCACATCACCATATGATTAGCACCCATAGTTCACATCGACATGTGACCAACACCCAAAGGGTTTACTAGAGTCAATAATTTAGTTCACATCGCTATGTGATTAATACCCAAAGAGTACTGAGGTGTGATCATGTTTTGTTTGTGAGAGAAGTTTAGTCAACGGGTCTGCCACGTTCAGATCCGTAAGTATTTTGCAAATTTCTATGTCAACAATGCTCTGCATGGAGCTATTCTATCTAATTGCTCCCACTTTTAATATATATCCAGATTGAGACTTTGAGTCATCTGGATCAGTGTCAAAACTTGCATCGACGTAACCCTTTACGACGAACCTTTTGTCACCTCCATAATCGAGGAACATATCCTTATTCCACTAAGGATAATTTTAACCAATGTCCAATGATCTACTCCTAGATCACTATTGTACTCCCTTGCCAAACATAGGGCAGGGTATACAATAGGTCTGGTACACAGCATGGCATACTTTATAGAACCTATGTCTGAGGCATAGGGAATGACTTTCATTCTCTCTCTATCTTCTGCCGTG